AATTTACCATTTTCACATCCATACTCTTCACATGGTCAAAAAATGGGTCTTTTTGATCTTTAGAATTTGGATGCTTTCTTTTACCATATTTTGCCTCATCTGATACGCTTGAACAGCTTGAAGAATGCTGACTAGGTCCTAGAGATTGTGATGAGGATATGTCCAATATGTTCTCTGGTATTGTTTGGATTTCAAGTTCCACATTGCTGCGAGTTTCCAAATAGCTTGTTTTCTTATAAAGAAATCTCATAACCTCAAAATATTAGCATGTTGGAAGTGTCGAAGCAGCTGCCCCAGATTTAGACAATGCTCGTCTTCTATCAAGGCATTTTTTTCGAGAATCTTTAAGAATTTAAAAATTTTCTGAAGGTATGGAACTGAAAAAAGGGCAAGAAACAAATTTTTTCAGTGTTGACGTAAAATACGAAATAACAAATAGTCAATGAGCACAGTCAAACGAAATTGTGAGACGAACACCCTTACGCAGAAACGTCGAGAAGTTTTCCTGTGCACTTTAGCATGTTTAGCATGTTACATCACAATAACCAAACAACACACAAGTGAAATTCTCAAGTTTCCGGAAGTCCTCCATTAATTTAGAACACTTAACCTTCTCGCTGGAACATTCGAGACAAAGATTTCCATGCATTAAGTTTCATTCCAAATTATGACCAGTCGCATGTGTATGGTACATCTCAACACAATCAAAGAATTGAAGGGTGGTGGTCTTACTTTAGAAGAAGCCGAGCAAACTGGTGGATCAACTTCTTTAAAGACTTGATGGATCAGATAATTGTTTCATCTGGAAATGAACTGAAAATGGAATGCCTATGGTTTTGTTTTTCAAGTCTCATTCAACAAGACTTGAATCATGTAAAAAATAATTGGAGTACTCATCATAAGAAGATCAAGGTTTGACACCATACCAGGAAGGCCGAATGAGTTATATTTCCTTCCCTAGAGGCATGATTCAGACGATTTTCTTCAACCTGTAGGTCAACAACAGTGTGATCAGGTTCTACAGAACAATTATCTTTTTGGAAACAAAAACGAGTATGAAGAGTACTTTGCAAATGTCATGGACACAGTATAAAAACAAAGTGTAGTCCCACTCTGTTGAAATTTTTTGTCTAGCGCATATCTTATTACGCATGTGATTAGCATAGTGTCAGCCAGACAATTGCTTTTTTGGGCCAATAAGAGCACTGGGATGGCTGGCCGCAGCCAGTAATATAATTAAATATACAGCACCAAGTTGCACAATGGAGTGAGACTATTGTTTTTTTCTATACTGTGTCATGGATCAAGCAGGTTAAAGCTGCCTTAAGACTGGAGGCAAGCCTTGGATTATTACAATTAGTTAATTTACATAGCAAAAGACAATTGATTTTTACACGTTTGGGCGGATTGGATTTTCTAGGTCTGCATTTGATGACTGAATATTGTAAAATGACTGTTATTACAAAATGAAAATGAGCATTTCATTTTACAAAAATTGTTTTTTAATTGTTAAGTTAACATGGTTATTAAACATCAGTAAACCAAAAGTTTCTGGTATCTTTCTGATAAAAACATTGTATATAATTTTCTGTTTACTATGTCTGAATAACTGTGGTGACATCTTATAAAATTTACGATATTTTAAAGTAACAGCCAAATGATTTGCTGTGAATTAAAGGCAACATCAACTAATGTGATTGTAATCTATACCATACTCTTATAGTCTGTGTCATTTATACAGTTTCAAATGCTTCTCTTGTTTACAACTAAGTTTTGGAAAATTAAGGAGTTGCAAAAACACCACCCTCTTTAAGCAAACTCTTTAAGAAAAAGAATTCTTTGCCAATTATGCTCACCATTACAGTTCCTATTATGTCATCAGTGTGCAAGCCATCTATAATGCCAGTGTACCCTCTCTTAATAATGAAATCTCTGTGAGTATGAACATCTTTCTTTATACTTTCCAAGAGCTCACGATCAGCTTCAGTAAAATGCTCTTCTAGTACTAAGTTACTCATATCAATATTAGGATAAAGCATCAAGTTGTAGGCACTTTCATTCAAAATGCATGGTTGGGGACTTCTATGAGCAATGGAAGTAGCAGCCAATTGACCACCAGCTCTAAAGTTTCCATTCTGAATATTGCACATAGAGCCAATTAGTGTTCCATCGGGCAACATTGTCGAACTTATTTGTGAGATTTTTTCAGAAAAAAATTCTTGAGACATGGCACCCGAGTCAATGCCATCTTCTCGCATTTATTTAACTCGAAGTACTTTGTTTGGGTCAGATCTTTTGCATTCTCGCTGTCATAAAGATAAAGATCGAAGAATTAAAACACTGCATTGCACAACAAGGAAAAACTGTTCATTGTCTTCCACTTTTTTTTCAATGCCTTCCATAAATGTGGAGTGATCGACGTTGTCAACTTTACATGAATTGGGAATGTCTCTTCGTTCTTCACTTCCAGTGAAAACAGTTGTAGGCACCGGAAAAGTTAAGTAATTAAAGCGGTAAAGTTGCTTTTTTGCAATAAACGATCGCAGCATGTTGACATTTAGCAAACATGGAAGAATGTTTAAAAACGTGAGACTCTATCGTTAGAGATTAGACTTTAAATTGGTATTGGTAAAACATAGTGTGTCTTTGTCGTAGACTCATAGTACAACACTTTAATACTAACCAATCCTAACTAAGGGGTTACGTATTAGCAACAATGAGATGGATATCAGTAACCTTAGTAACGTCAAGTTTTGAAAAAGTAACAAATGTTTAATTTATGCACGCCGCATGGTCAATTACAAACGTGTAATGAATTAGTTAGTGTTAAAAAACTACTTGTATAAGAGTTTGTATGCACTTCGTTTACCAGAAGTAATCTCAACTTAAAGGGGTAAAATAAACACGACAAACAACATGGTACATGTGCCAATTCTTCAATACGGGACGAAAATCCAAAAATCGACACCCCACTAAAATTGCAATGTCAACATAGTTCTAACTTTCAAAAAAAAAAAGAAATAACTTTTCTGAAGTTCTTGACATGTTTAGAAGGTTCACTTTAGCGGGAGGAAAAACTTTGCATAACATCAATATTTAGTCAGAGAATTACTATATACATCTCTCGTCAAATGTTGCATAAACTAACCAATTTTCTTGGCAAAGATTGCATTTTCATATTTTTAAAGAAAAAATCACATGAGATGAAAAAGAACATTTAACCACAGTATAGAGAACATACAGTAGAGCCACTCCTTTGAATTTTTCGTGCCACGCATATCTTATTACGCATGTGATTACCATATTGCATCCAGTAAATTGCATTTTGTGACCAATAGGATGGACGATATGGCAAGCGGCAGCCAGTAAACTAAGAGCTTGCTCACATGAGCCCGGTAACAGGGATTCTGCGAGGCGTAAAATGATTTTAAGTCATTGAAAAGAGTTAAAGCTTTAAGTGAAAAATTTACAACCTTTTCTTAAGTGTTATAACTCATTTTAGTCATAATTCTCAAATCAAGCTAAATTATTTGTCTTCATTTTAAAGTTTTTGTGATTTTCCAAAATCCTATTACAGAGAAATTGCTTAAATAAGATATTTGTTGTGAAGTATTTAATCTTTTCCATTTGCCAAAATGTTTTAACGCTCTGCTGAATCCCGGCTCCTGGGCTCATGTGAACAACCATAATTAAATATACAGCAGCCAGTTGCACAGCAAAGGGCTCCTACTGTATATTCCTATACTGTGATTTAACTCGCTCTAAGCATTTTATTTGGAAATAATAAATGCACACTGTGGGTGTTTTTTCCCTTACTGGTACCACTAATCTTTTAAATTTGCCTACTGAGACTGAACTACAATGTGTTTCTCATCGGTACTACACATTTGAGATAAGCATTATCTTATTTTCATAACATTCTTTAGTCTTGTGTCTGCAGTGTTTTTTTTATCATAAGTAATTATAATTTCGTGTAGTTGGAGTTTGAAAATTATTCATAATTTACAATAGTTTATGAAATAACAAAGATTTTTTATAATATTAACTGATTTATGCAAAAATCTATTTGTATGGAATTTTGATTAATGAATGGAAAAAAACGTTTGCATTTTCGAAAATCGTGTCTTAAGCATTGACATTGAAAATCCTGTCTTAGACAGTTGATCCTCAACTCCTGAGTTAAAACTTGTAAAACTTTATTACATTTAGCACTAGTCCTTTGGAATATGACTAATCTTAACTAATCACCTTGTATGCGGTACTTATTTATGTATTTTTATTTCTATGACAATTGCTTTTAGTCAATGATTTATACTTAGTTATATAACTGAGATGTTCTACATAAACACACCATAAAAGAACGTACAGTAGAGCCACTTTATTGAAATTTTCGTGCCACACATATCTTAATACGCATGGGATTGCCATAGTGGCAGCCAGTCAATTTCTTTTTTTGACGAATAGGAATGATGCAATGCCTAACGCCAGCCAGTAATCTAACTAAATATACAGCTGCCAGTTGCACACGAAGTGGACCTACTGTATATTTCCTTAACCACGACATGCGCGAAGGCAAAAACATCAGAGCTTCCGACACAAGTGACTCTTCTGTATATTCTTATTCTATGCCTATACTGTGACATAGATGTCATTAATGTTTCATAATACTGTTTGTTGAAGTAGATCCTGACTCATTTTTCATCTTCGCTCGTTATTTTAATGTGTTTATGTAACAAAAATTACATGGATAAAAAAAGAATTTTGCAATAAGTCATGAACTATGATCACCATTTTTTAACTGATATGTGTGTGGTCGCGTTGTTTATATTAAATCTCTCATCCGTTTGTATAGTAAGTGACATATAACTAGAATGTTCTTTATGGATGTCATTGATGTGTTATTACACTGTTTGTTTAGGGATATCCTGACTTACTCTTCATTTTCGTTCGCTATTTAAATGTGTTTATGTAACAAAACTTACATGGATGAAAATTTGATGTAACAATAAGGTATGAATAATGATCACAATTTTTAACTAATATGTATGTGGTCGCGTTGTTTATATTAAATCTCTCATCCGTTTGTTGAGTAAGTGACATGTAAAGAACTAAAGCAAGCATAATTTTGTTCACACGGTCGTCTTACTTCTAAAACGAGGGTAATTTTAGAAAAATAAGCGATATTTTAGAACTACATTACCGACATAACAAATTAGCTAAAGCAGCATCTCGATAAAGTATGACTAAACATGCATGAGAAATCATATCTAATTTGATATACCAACTTTCTAACTATTGACAACAAGCTGCATGGTAAAGGAAAGCAAAACCTGTTCAAAGGTATGGGAGAGGTGAAATAGCATACTTGTAAATGGAAAAAATGGGAATCTGTGAAAATTTATGTAGGGGGTAGAATGTCCAATCACGCATCACCTCCCTTTTTTGCCGGCTACACTTTTGCTGTGTGTCTTTCGCACAATCTGCGCGAAGTGCTTGTTCACTGTTCTAAAACTTCACACTAACGATGGGACTGTATTTTGAATATATAATTTTGACACTTCAATAAGATATTTACAGTGTTGTGCACGATTTTACGTTCCAAGCGTTGGTTCTTCGCGATACGGAATGATTAAATTTGATCTCGTTAAGATTACGGAAAACCGTCAATCTTAGAACTGCGTTTTCGAAATTTATTGCCTTCTGCAATACAACTCTAATTCATCAAATCTGTATGATCAGTTCATACAGCAATAACGTCAACTTTTCCGAACTCCCGAACCAACGCTTTCAAGCTATATTTATGTGTAATCATTCGGAAGTGGTTTTTTGGAGTCTACATATGACGCACAACTTTGCCATCCCGTTTCTACCTACATCCTACCGCAATGACGCATTGACTCTCACCATGACTATTTTACATCAACATAATATCCGTTATATCAAAAATATGACACAGTCACACACTACATAACATAACATGACAATTTACAACAGTGTCTAACAAAATGTTGTTAAATGTGTTGAGCAAACCATTCATTTTTAAAATAAGAACATTTGTAAAACATAGGAAGAATGTATTTACAAAGAGAAAGAACGCAACCGAATCTATTTTTGTAATATGTTGATTCATGCAACACAGTGAGCTTTTAAATTTATACTTTTGATGATGTTTGTTTAACAGTTTTAAGGTTTACTTTTATTGCAACCTTTACTGTTGTATCTACAGTGTTTTTATTCGTCATAAGTAATTATAATTGCGTGCAGTTGATGTTTGCCACGTATTCATAATTTACAATGGTTTATTCAATAACAAAGGTTTTTTATAATATGAACTGACTTATGCAAGAGTATATATGTATGGAATTTTTGATTAATGAAGGGAAAAAATTCATTCACAGTTTCAAAAATCGTGTCTTAATCATTGCCATTCAATTCCCATCTTAGATGGTTCTCTATTCCTGAGTTAAAACTTGTGAAACTTTATAAGATTTAGCATTAGTCGTTTGGAATTTGACTAATCTCAATGTTGTTATGTACTCTGCATGAGGTTCTTATTTATGTATTTTTATTTCCATAACAATTGTTTTTAGTCTGTGATGTATACTTAGTTATATAACTAGAATGTTCTATATGGATGTCATTAAAGTTTTATTATACTGTTTGTTGAAAGAGATCCTGACTTACTCTTCATTTTCGTTCGCTATTTAAATGTGTTTATGTAACAAAACTTACATGGATGAAATTTTGATGTAACAATAAGGTATGAATAATGATCACAATTTTTAACTAATATGTATGCGGTCGCGTTGTTTATATTAAATCTCTCATCCGTTTGTTGAGTAAGTGACATGTAAAGAACTAAAGCAAGCATAATTTTGTTCACACGGTCGCCTTACTTCTAAAACGAGGGTAACTTTAGAAAAATTAAGCTATATTTTAGAACTACATTACCGACATAACAAATTAGCTAAAGCAGCATCTCGATAAAGTATGACTAAACATGCATGAGAAATCATATCGAAAATGATATACCAACTTTCTAACTATTGACATTAAGCTGAATGGTAAAGGAAAGCAAAACCTATTCAAAGGTATTGTAGAGGAGAAATAGCATACTTGTCTATGGAAAAAATGGGAATCTGTAAAAATTTATGTAGGGGTGATAGCATGTCCAATCATGCATCACCTCCCTTTTTTGCCGACGCCACTTTCGACTAATCGCTGTGTGTCTAAGAGAATGTTGTTAATAGTATTGAGCAAACCATTCATTTTAAAAGTAAGAACATGTGTAAAATAAGCAAATGTTAAACATAGGAAGAATGTATTTACACAGAGAAAGTACGCAACCGAATCTATTTTTGTGAAATGTTGATTCATGCAACACAGTGAGCGTTTAAAATTATAGTTTTGATCATGTTTGTTTAACAGTTTTAAGGTTTACTTTCGTTGCATCCTTTACTGTTGTATCTACAGTGTTTTTATTGATCATAAGTAGTTATAATTGAGTGCAGTTGATGTTTGCCATGTATTCGTAATTTACAATGTTTATTTAATAACAAAGGTTTTTTATAAAATGTGAACTGATTTGTGCAAGAGTATACATGTATGGAATTTTTGATTAATGAAGGGAAAAATCCATTCACAGTTTTGAAAAACGTGTCTTAATCATTGGCATTAAAATGATCTAACTGCTAACCAAGCAACAGGAAAATTGTATTAAATTTGTAAACAGAACAATTTACAAAAGGAATGATATCTGAATCATGTGGGATATTCATGATGAACTATATACCAACACTGCCAATAACTTTATTGACATGGATTGAGACAATAACTATAACATATTTTTGTTAGCTGTTTACACACGTCTGATAAGAAGTTGCGGTATTGTTATGTGACTTTGCTTTTACCAATAAATATACTAGCTTCATGTTTAGATATTTGACTCGTTCTATCCGATTGTTTCGGTTCCGACTTTAATTTGGATACTTGCTCAGAAGGTTGGATAATTTTGTTGATATTTATGTTGTTTAGATATTTATATTTGTGTTATCCAAAACATTTATCGATATATTTTTCGTATTCGGTTCTTGTTCACTTGTCTTTCTCCAATCTATGTAATTTGACTAGTCAATTTTCTTTGATTTTTTTTAACGAAAATCGAAACAAGCTCTATTTTCATACGATTTTTTAGATGGACGAATCAGACTGTAGGCGGCTCACATTTTTGTGTTCACAGGCTCGGTTTTCTAGGATCCGAAAGTTTGTCAGTAAACTATGTAATAAACTAACAGTTGAACCAAATTTAATCGTTCTCAAGTAACAAGCAATGACATCGATTTCATTAAAGTTGAAATACATGCTTCTTTCTCTTGTCTTTGTCGATATAATAAACATGCAAGTGATATATTTATTAATAGTTACTGTAGGAATGACAGTTTTTCATTTAAAATCTACTCAAGACTTTGACTAATGTAGGTATGATTCTACCTTATAACTAGTTTGCTTTATTATTCTTTATAAGCATTTAAACATGGTTATTGTCAAACCATAAAATACAACATACATAAACGAGATATTCCAGTTAGATTTCAAACATTCTATAAGAAATGAATATAATTGAAGCAGAAAATTAAATCACTGTGCTTAACATGATTTGTTTATGTTTGAAAGCTATTTTGTCATCGTTTAATCTTAAAATGATCGTTGTAAAGGGTTTTCATCACTTAGTTACGTACATCAACATATTTTGAATTTTTGATATGACAAAACTTGTTTGTTGATATGTGTTGATTTGCTACTGAAATAACATACTAAAGTCAATACTTTATATGTGTTCTCCATCTTTTATAACTGATCAATGATTGTGGACAATGTGTGGTGGCTAAATATGTTTTTGTTATAAGATTTATCTATTTACTTGGATTAATTCATGTACAGGAAGATCAATAATTGTTGGGTGGGGGCTCATATTAATTTATGTCAATGATATGTTTATATTCTTCAGTTGCTAGCTATTTCATGTAGTTTGCCTATTTTTTCAGAATAATAATCTAACCAATGAAAAATGGTTTTGGTCATAGGCATACAGATTTTTACATCTTTTACACAACTTTGGGTCAACTCTCATAAAAATTAAGTCCACCAATTTTTCATTGGTTTTCTTATTACAATGTTTTGTTGACCATTTTTATTGCTTTCATCACTTTTGTTGACTTCTTGACACACTTTCTTTTTTAGCAAGAAAAACTGTGGCAGGACTGTAGGATGATTGTTAATTTGAAGATCATATTATGTATGCATAATATAGGCTACATGTGTTAAGTTCTTTGAAAACCATTGTTGTCTAGGGATCATTACATCCAAATGTTTGTCACCCCAACCACAGTATAGAAAATATACAGAAGGACCACTTTCGGTGCAACTTACTGCTGTATTTATAATTATATTACTGGGTGTAGTTTGCAAGCTCACTGCACCTATTGTTCAAAAAATGGTAGTGTCTGACTGCCACTATGATAATCACTTGCAAAATAAGATATGCATGGCACAAAAATATTAAATGCAATATATACTCTATGTTCTCTATAAAATTATACTATATGTTCCTATCAGCGTGCCCCAATGAGGTATTTGCCGGTTGCTAGTCTCCTTAAATTTGCGCGGTTTTTGCAATGCATTCACTGGTCGCCAGGGGGCAAACATTTCTTCAGAAAAGTATCTGTAATAGTAATATTTTCGATAATTCTCAATTTAAAGCACCTATTTCCAATATAATGGTTGTTCGTTGTAATGCGTATCCGTTACCAGTGGGGAGAAAAGAAGTAAAAGTATGTGGAGACGGTAATTGCTTTTATTGAGCAGTTTCGTTGCCTATAAACGGTGAAAGCAACGAAAACTTTGCTCACATTCGAGAAATGTGTAACGATGTTTTGATACAAAAACAGTCAATGAGGTCATGTTTATCACTTTCAAAGCTGTAGCTATCATCAGAATCATAACTTGTAGCATCCAAGTCTGTTGTACAATTTATTTGTGGACTGTCGTGGTGCACAGAGTCTGGATCAGTATACTGCTCAAGAACAGTGATTTCAGCTGAAAAAAAATGCCTTATCCTCATGCTCAAAGCGTTTTTCAGTACTGCCTTCACACAGAATTTTTCGTCTCTTTATTTTCGGAATATTTGATTTGCTTCTATCTTTCGGAGGTAATCGTTTACTGGTTTCTTTTGATTTGTATCCTTTAAGATACCAAGTTGTATTGGGAAAGCCTTCGGATTGATAACCAGCAAGAAAATGATTTGAGCAAACCTTCGTATTAGTAGTGACTTTGAAATTTTTCCTGTTGATCAGCTTTGCCAAGCACTCTTGTCTTTCGTTTTTCGGAGGAAAAAAGCGAAGAATAACAACGTCATCGTAAACGATATATTTTTCAGGATATCTCCTATCGTTATCACATCCATAAACAACACAGTGATCCTCTTTTCCCATTATAATTTCAATATAAACCTTTTACGAAAAGATATCTTTATAAAGATACACAATGTTTGCCCCCTGCGATCTCAGAAAGCATTGCAAAAACTGCGCAAATTTAAGGAGACTGACAACCGGCAAATACCTCATTACATTATATCTTCCTTAGGTCCTAAGTCTTGAATGAAGCACTAGTCCAAATAAATTACACCTGCTCATTTGAGGAAAAAATTTTGAATTTGGTCAAATCGTTTGATTTTTGTAAAAGCGTTAAATTCACTAAAATCGTTTATTGTTGTGAACTATGTCCGTGATAATGAGGAGTCTGAAACTAGCTAATTTTTTGACGTCATCCAAGGTACTCGTGTTACACAAGTCGTGTATTTAATTTCTATCAAGGCAATGCTGGCTGAGGCACAACTTAAGCCTATAAGCGCCTAAAAGCATTGCCTTTGCAATAGTAAAGGCAGAAAAAAGGTAAATAGTTGCTTTGCAGCCAATTGTACGAATGAGTCAAGCCTTTGCTCTCGTATGAGTCTTCACACTATGTCTTATAATGATAAAAGGCCTGAGTCTGGGCGAAGACGGAATATCTGGGTTTTAAAGCAAATCTCGTATTTGAGCCTTCCCGTGATTCAACACTTTGTTCGGCTCGATTAAAACCAGGGATTTGGAACGTCAGTTTAGTAGTTTGCCGAATCAATAGAACACTAATTTTCCAGGGCTTAAAAAAGATGAGATTAGAATTTGTGTCTTTCCGATCATCCATGCTTTGAAGTCAAAATCCGAATCATCATTGCTCAAGTTTTATTGCTTTCCGAGTTTTCTGTCACGTATCCCGGAATAAAGTTTTTGTCAGAATTATCGGACTGAAGACTCAATTCTGATTTTGATTTATTGCTTTCTTCGCAAGACAAATAATTAAACAGCGTGAAAGAACGTATGTTTAATATAAGCTAAATATGCCCGAATGCTGACTATATTGGATGACGTCAAAATACCTTCTAGTGACGGTCTCTTTGGTGTTATAGAAAACGACGGCGTTGGGCCAAAAATGCACAACTTCAAGATGCCATAAAAGCTTGTTGATTTGACCAAATTTCTGGAATTTTTTCTCAGAAAGGCTTAAAATCATATACAGATTTTAGATTGCTAAAGAAACTTTTGGTGGCAATGCTAAAAAAGTCTGACTAAGGCAGTCTCTGTCTTTCCGTCGTGATATCTTCGGCTGTGTCCTCGTTCATAGTCGCAAATGCGAACAATAACGAATAGTATTGTTTTGTTTAGTATAGTCAATGCTTGGAACTTGATAGCTACACTGTGAAGTTCGTGCTTGTATTTTGTTCGGTATTTTATTCGTATATCACGTTTTTTGTCTCTCACCCTGTGTTTTGTTTTTTGGTGAGGAAAATGTAAAGCAGACAGGATATAGTTTTCTTTATATTTATTTCAATTAGTAATGACGACGATTTGGATTGAACAGATCGTCAAAAATGACGAAGAATTTAAATATATTATGGCCCTATGGAAAATAACTACATCAGCAATGATATATGTACCATGTGCAATGCCTCTTCATTTTAACAATGAACATAAAAATTTAAATTGGAACAGAATCATCGGCAACATTGTCCTATCAATAAGCAAATATTCGTGCAGCACAACAAACCGATTTGATATATCTTTTCACCACACCATTGTGGTGAAAAGATATATCAAATCGGTTTGGTTTTATTCATTTAAAAAATTGTTTTAATTCAAAATGGCGAAGAACTTATCGTTTTATCATTGAAATTTATGACATTAATAAGGACATGGCAATTATATTGTTTTTTGCAAGCTTCCTTTGCACGATATTAGCACGTGAACACAAGCACACATAACATGCGCTGAGCGTAGGAGAGCAATAAAAAGCAAAGATAATGATAATTATTAGGCATTTTTATTAAACATGGAGCATAAAGAACGTTTTGTACCAAAAAGAAGTGCCAAAGGAAGGAATGATTTCATTTTATGGCGTTTTGACATGAAAATATTTGTTGTTATTTTTCATATGTTATTATTACGGAAAGACCTTGGGACTTGACCTTGGGAATGTCCTTAAGACTTCACTTAATTTAATGAAAAATACAACACTAAACAGTTGCACTATTGACTACTGTTGTTCCATGTACTGTAACTCTGGTCAAGGCTACCCACATGTACACATTCGTACCTTTTTTTATGTACCTTGTACATCTGGGGACAGTTGCACGAAGCCTGGATAGCATTATTCGTCGGATAGTAAAATTTTCAAATTTGTAGAAAAAAGTGTTTATATTTTCCTTAGGGGAAAGAAATTTTGTAATTTTAGAAGGGATATTTTATTTCAATGATTGCTCAGTTCAAATCACATATTATTCCCTTTTAAGAGAATTTGTAAAAGTTCAAAACAATTTGTCATTTACTGTCTTCTTCATAAACTATACTGCCTTCTTTTAACCAACCCAAGATTTTCCTATGTAATCACAATGAATTTGTACCATGGAAGTCTTATCTACTTTTTTTCTACAGGGAGCAACATTATGTCTGTCTCGAGCTCAGACATGAAAACTAATGGTTTTAAGTTGATGAGATTGATTGTTGATGTTGGTGGAGAAGCCTTGAGAATAACATTGAGGAAACAACTGTCAGGTACTGATTTATTTAATGTTTTGAATGATCCTGAAAATACACAACTACTTTCAAGTCTGAAGAATAGACAAATCCAGCAACATCAGTGGGATCTACTATATCCTGATCTTCCAATATTACCAAATGAAAATGATTTTGACATTACTTTACTTTGTATTCTCCTGCGTAATACTTGTGATTTAAAACCACCACGTGATCCAATATGGACGTCAGTAAATAACCCCAATGATCATTCAACTGAAGCAGATATTACCCGTATCAGATTATTTCGTAATGAACGTTTTGCTCACTTAACTAGCACTTCAGTAAGCTTTGATGAATTTGAAAATCATTGGCTGGAAATAAGCGAACCATTAGTTCGTTTAGGAATAAGTCAGAAAGAAATAGATAGATTGAAAAATGAGTTGTTTGGTAATGAAGAATGTGAAAGAATTTTGAGAGAATGGAATAGATTAAAGAGCGATTTAACTGATATTAAAACTGATCAGAGAGGTATTAAGAAAGTAGTGGAGGGTGTAGAGAAAAATTTACAACAGGTAAAAGATTTTGTCACAGTAATTAAAGACGAAGTTTATGAAATGCGACATCACCCTCACTTAGGTCCAGAAGAAGATATTTTGACAAAAAACCTTGTTAGCTGTAAATTTGAAAGTGAAATTAGGCATCATTATGCAAAATATTTGCATGGAACACGGGAATGGGTTTTTAAAACGTTTTTAGATTGGTTTGAAGACGATACTTCTCAAAATCGTGCATTTATTATTTCTGCTGTTGCAGGCATGGGTAAGTCTGTAATTGCAGCTACTTTATGTAAACGTTATCCACAATATTTGACTGCAATTCATTTCTTTCAACACAACAACAGTCGTTACAATAAAGCCAATGTACTTCTTCAATCTTTAGCGATGCAAATTAGTCGTAAGTTTCCTGTTTACAAACAACTTCTTGTGAAAAAACTTTCGGGTCAACTGTGTGAGCCTTTGAATAACATGAATGTTAAAGGATTATTTTCCCTTCTTTTTACTGAGTTGTTTGTTACAATTTTGGAGTTTCCTAAGCGAATTCTAGTGGTGTTGGATGCTCTTGATGAATGTGGTTATCCAGAAAGAGATGACCTTGCTAATTTGCTTGCTAATCACTTACACAAACTTCCACGTTGTTTTCGATTTGTAATTACAACCCGACCTAACGAAGTTGCTTTGAATGAGTTCGAAAAATTAAATCCACTGTTCATTAATTGTAGCGATGATCGCAATTTAGAGGATATTAAATTATTGATTGAAAAAAGAATCGGCGCTACTGGCAGCCTATCTTATGTTAAAAACATATTGGCAGAAAAAGCTGACGGACTTATGTTGCTTGCGTCACTTCTTAGCAGTGAAGTCAAAAATCAGGATTTGTTGAAAGGCTCCATACCAAAAGATCTCAATGAATATTACAAACTTTGCTTAACAAGATTAAGTAAGGAATTAGATTCGTTTGATATCAGTAACGAAAAGTTTCAGTCAATTTTAAATACTTTGGCTGTTGCTAAAGAACCTCTTCCTTGGGAAATGATCGATGACGTTCTTTGTTTGAATTCAAATTACATATCACTTCAGGTTAGAGAGATTATCTCTTGTCTTTTTGTTACCAATGGAGAAGGATGTGTTTCGTTTTTTCACAAATCTTTAAATGATTGGTTGTTGGATGATCGAAAACATATTTACTCAGTAAAAACTCTTTGTGGTCATCGACTTGTTTTAGAATTTTGTTTAAAATTATTAGATAACCTCAAAGCTGAAGGTGTAAACTGTGACGTCATTAAACATGCATCAGTGAGATATTCAGTAAAGTATTGGTTGCTTCATTTACTTGATATTTCTGATGTTGATTACATCGTTAAAAATGTTGGTAAATATCTTGTTGACTTAGAAGTTTTAGTTGCTTCTGTGTTGGTTGATAGAGGTCGTACTTTTGGAAATTTTGAATTATTTAACGCACATGATGTGTACTTTCATATTTCTGAGGACATTCGATTGTTATTTAATGAAGTTTATTCTGTAATGACGTACTCTAGGCGCTTTGACAATGAAGTAAGTTTTTTGCAACGCGTTGCCTACGAAGTCAATGATATGTCGTCGGAAGCGACCACAATGATTCAAACACGTTTCAAAGATTTACCATATCTAGAGTACAGAGACACGGGTTTTGTAAAGGCTCGATTATTACGTTTACATAGATGGTCGATGCCTCTTGGTCAGTTGATTTCTGTTGATGTTGCACGAAATCATGATTACGTCGTCTGTGGTTATTATGGATTCGTCGTGCAACTTTTTTCATTGAGAACAAACAGATGTTTATGGATAAAAAATATTGCTGGTCAGTTTAAGCAATATAACGAGAAAGACTTTAGCGTTGTCTTTCATCCATTCGAAGATTTGATTTTTGCTTCCCAGCTTGATAAGATACTAGATATTAATGGTAAAATTTCCTCCAGTCCGTTCCATTGTGATGATTCTACTTCTAAGTTCTTTACCAACAAATGTTTTTCTAAGGATAAGTACACAATGGTCACTAGTTACAAAGATATTTTGACAGTATGGGACGTTAAGAAAGGTGAGAAGAAACGCAGTATTAGATGTAAAAATGTGACCTCACTGTGTTTTTCTAATTCTGGAAGATATTTGTGTGTTGTTGTGAGAGGAAAAAAGTTTCAAATATTTGATGTAGCGAGTAATTATGAAACATTCGTTTACGACGATCATTTAACGCGTGATAAATTTCGTGTGTGTGATGTTTTGTTCACTGTTGGTCTTCATTCTTGGTGTTTGAGCAAACCTTTTTCTTGTAAGAAAGATTTCATTGTAAATCCCACTGGTGAGAAACTTCATGACTTAGGTCCTGATTCCAAAAGTTCGTCTTTTAATCTCGATCCTTTCGATGAGAACAGATTTAGCTTTTCCTTTAGTGGATATGTAAAGTATTACTTTATTTTGAACAACGACAATGTTCTTTTGTTTGAATACGGAAATCGCTTTTATCTTTATTCAATACCGCGTGCATGTTTAACTAACAGTTACAGTTTTCGTAACGAGAAATTTTGCTCAAATGTTAAATTTATGTATCGGAGCAATGAAGAAAAATCAAGGATAATTATATACAATCTCAACACATTTGACTGTGTTGTCAAGGAATGTTTTTTTAGTGACATGGTTGCTGTAGAAAATGGAGTTATTTTGCTTACGGCAAAAAATATTCCTGAGCTTTGGAATAATGCTTTGACAAAACTTGTTTATAGTTTCGATGAACTAAAAGGTACAAACAAAATTTTTGAGGTGAGTGATGTATCATTTGCTTGTCAAAAACCTGATTCTGTTGTGTTTTTCAATGTTGAAAACAAGCGAAAAGAAATATCAGTGAATTTTGAAAATTATCGAAATGTGCACGTATTTGCATGTAGCTCTAAGTATCACGTGTTTGCTAAAGTTGAATTTAAGGATCAGATAATTTACAGTATGTGGCATGAAGACAAACTTGTTAATGGTTGGGATGACGTAATTAAGGAGACCTTAATCACCGACAAAGTCATTGAAAAGTACACGCGTGATATTACTCGCTGTCTACCCTACGCTACTTTTTCACCTTCAGCAGGTAAGTTATTAATAAGTGCCCAGCAATTGGATTTTCGTAGGCGTAAGTATATGAAAGTATTTGACGTTAAAAACATACAAATTATTTATAGTTATTCTAATTCTTTTCTCGAGTGTTTCTTTGTTGATGAAAGGTATATAATTTGTGGTAACTTACAATTGATTGACTTGAAATATTTTAAGACTGTAGAATTATCTATCCTCCCTGTGAATATATTTCGAAGAACTTTTTATTACTGTCGTAAACGCAAACTTGCTTTAATGTTTTCTTCTTTTAAGTTCCCTGTACAATGCCTAAAAATCATCTTGCCACAAGGATAAATTTGATATTTGATGATAACATCTCTCACCATTTTGGATAATGACTAATATATTGCTCTTTAAGAAAATCTTGTTCAGTTTTTTTGCATGATCCCTATCATTGTTGACATCTCAATTAATGTCTGTTTGCGTATGATTTCATAAAACGACCTGTGTCTAATTATGTTTGTTCTGTACAGAGACCACAGTGTACGATAATGTCAACATTTAGAGAGATCATGTATAAAAGCTGAACTTAATTAAAGATGAAAATTCAATGACAATAAAGACAAACCATAAACACAAATGATTTAGTGTCTAATATAATAATTTTCCTTGCACAAGAAAATAATTTTATTGACTTTTATCTCCTCACTCACACAAACATATAAAATGCAACTATTGTTAGTTATTGTACCATTGGTTATATTCTGTTTATATCTACACCATATAAACATATAATTTTTGTGCAAGTGTATTCAGTTTTTCGATACTCTTACACCAAAAATAAGTTGTTACTAATTAAATATATACTATCTTGAACTGAAATAATTTCTTAATACTTTTCAATTATTGCATTTTGATATACAAAATATCTATGTGTTAAGTTGTTAAGAGAGACAAAGACAGCCCAATTGTTACTTCGGTTATATGAATATTTTCATCTTTATCAATTTGAAAAACGTTAATTTATAATAAAACAATGGTACCTTTGCTAATTTTTTCAAGAAAAAGTAAAAAATTGGCTGTCTTTCTCAATGACTGTTAAAAAGTAAATCGTAAACTGCACAAGAAAATGACTTATGATTGACGTTAATCATCGTGATAAACAATTTAACCATAGTGACTTAGCACTCCAAACCGTATGAACAAGAAAAGTTAACAAAAGTCAAAGAAAATTTTGCAATATAGAGAGACAGAAAACAAATCACAATGTTGCATATGGAAGGATGTTTAATGACAAGTTTTTACTTTTAATGAAAAATCGATATCAAGCATTGTTAAAGTTTGAACACTTTTACTTTGTGAATCGATACTTTATGGGAATTATTTTTAACAACATCAACTCAAACATCAGTGGACATTCTTCAAGTTACTTTGCCAAAGTTTGATATGTTTATGGCTTGTCTATAAAATTACATCGTGTACTCTTAATTCAGACGATAATACAAGAAGGAGAAGCTTTACTTCAGGAAGTGACGTAATGAAAGAAATGATAAACTTATGTACCATGATTCTCTGTGGATTTTTTGTTGTACTTTGTAACGTCACCTAGGTCACGTGTTCATTGAAATGTCATCTGTTGTCAAAATTAGAAGATATGAACTTTTACATTTTTAAAATGGTGAAGCTGGCTGTTCACTTTGTTTACTTTTTATAAAACTGAAGCGTGAAATTATCATCTCACATGGACATTTTGATGTGAACATAACGCTTAAGTAATCATGAGAGTGAATGAAAAGAATTTGATTTTTTTACAATGTGGCTATTAGAGATGGCCAAAGCGATTTTTTTTGTTGCATCTACAATTGAAGCTGCTTCTTCATACAAACACACTGTCATTGTGAATATTATGACACTCGATTGCCTTTTGGTATACTCTGAAATATATATGTACTTGAATGGTACTATAACATTTGTGATATGAATTAAGATCTTAACAGCAACATGTCATGAAAATTCATAGCAAACGTCAACTATGGATGGTTGTAGAATAAAAGTGATCATCTTAGTTCATATAAATGGTCAGCAAATCATTCACAACAAAAGGAACTTCAACATGTAAGGACTACATCAAATTAGGAGAATAGAAATTATGGAAAAATTTCAACGTCTTTCTTTTTCAAGATGTCATAGTTCTAAATCCACTGTGTTTTATTTTTATGTAGTGTACTAGTTTAGATCATTAAATTTATTTCATATTGTTGTGTAAATATTTACGTATAGTGAATAGATATCTTTTATAACAACTCATAAACGGTCATCTACCGTAAGCAGACCTTCGGTCGTGGTCTCAATGATGTCCGTTTACGAGTAGCATGACTGTATGCAGACTTTTCATTACTTCACATTTTTTTTACGTTTCTACATTTTTCTTTTGCTTTTTAAATATTAAATGCTAAATAAATGAATCCCACATAACTCAACACCATTTTTTAGACTAATAGTAATTTGCCAACTACCATGTGAAGGTCACTTCTGCTTTAGAAAAGGAGGTGTCTTATCTTGAATTCAAAAATACCAAATTTTAAAATTAGCATTCAATAGTTGTACAATAACTTTCATTCACGTTCAATAACATTGTATTTTGGTAACTGTCATCTTGTAAAGGAAGTTGAAAAACACCCACTTTTTATCAAAACAGAACAATTGCCGTTGCCATTTTAAAGACTGGTTGGGATTCATTCATTTAGAACTTAGAAAAAGTCATTTAGAGAGAAACCTGTCTTTTTGCGCAGTGTTTGTTAAACTTTGTTTTTTAACACATATTAACGTAGTTTTATTATATTAGTATGTTAATGTAGGAAATAATCGTTGTATAAATATGTTTTCTACAAAATTGTTACAATATATGTGTGTTGATCTATTTATAGTGTCTAAAATATTTTTAACATTTGTCCACAACACCAAACCTATGTTGGGACTCTCGGGAAATTAGGCTCACTATTTCCCTAGAGAGAATACGTTAAGTGTTTTGTTATATAGGGAAAAAATCATAAATTTCGACAACTCCAATAAAATCCATGTCTTTGGGGGGAGGGGGGAATTGGCCGGTAAAATTTTGTTGCAAAATGCTGATTGACCACAGCATTTTAGGTTGACTTCCGAGTGTTTTCTTACTTCTTTTTTATTAATATTTGATTTTCGTCGCTAAATAAGCTCGAGAAAAGTTTTTTCAGTTTTAGGTTTGGTGGCTGATTTATTCGTTATGATATTAAAATGAGGGGCAACATCTTTTCACTTGTTTTACTGGCAGGAAATTGTGCTTTATTTCAAGTCATGTGACTACTAATGAACCAATCGCAATTACCATACGCAGCACCTATATAAAAATACAACAAATTGTATAAATGGACATAATTCGAAAATTGATTTACTGATTTGAATAGTTTGCAGGATTCCAAATCTAAATCAAACGATTTTCATGCATATCATTAGTCTCCTAGAATTTAGTGGGACATGGTGATCAGGAATTGAATTTTCAGAATAAGTTAAATTTTATAATACTGTTTTTTGATACATCCTGTATTTGTTTCTTTTTGGTAACACCCCGTATAATGTATATATGTACATAAAGGTCAGATCATCAGCTACAATTATATCATTAACACGTAGAATCTTATAAATTTTCTTACATTAAAGTTTTAGAAAACAGATGCTTTACATGAAACGTATGCATTTAAAACAAAAGATAATGAGGAAACTCATCTCTTTTTTTTTCTTTAATGCGTTCTGTGCATGTAAAGTTCGACGCGTCAAGGGGACGCGTCAAGGGGACGGTGTCAAGGGGACGCGTCTTCCTTTCAAATTTTGCTTTATTTCATTAGCAGTTAGCATTTGATATACAGACATTAGCAGTTAGCATTTGATATACAGACATAAGATTGAGTTTTTATGAAATGTAACAAATTGGATGTTTCTTAAATTTAAATTTGCCAGGAGAGTTTTTCCAAATATCGACAACCTTATTCCCATTTTCCCTGTATGTTTAAAGCTCAGTTAATTTTTCTCGTGTCATGGGCATGTATGCTACTGGACGTAAGTAAGGAACCAAGGCTGTTATATAGCGCGAAGCGCCCAAGGTGGTATATCAATTACAGCCGAGGCTCTATAAAAGTTGTTGATAGACTTATTATACGATGGAAGACGTTTTCCCGAAGTAATTTTTTCATTATATTTGTGCAAAATATTGATTCTATATCGAAAGTAATTATAATATAAACACAATACGTGAAAGCATAAACAATAGAGAAGTGTCCATTACTGTTCGAGTCAAAAGAGTGATGAATCCCAAAGGTGTTTGGTTTTCTACTTTATTTAAAATTCATATTTTTGCATGCTGTTTTCATGATAGCTTTGCTTCCATACACTTGTGGGTTATTTGAGATTTGTCTTTGCTTGTTATGGATGTCTGAGACAGTGAAAAGGTTTGAATTTTTTGGAGGTGCAAACTTTAAACATTTCCAGACACGATTGACTCTGAAATGAAGCGCTAACAACACAAGATATGGATTCAAATGTAAAGCAAGTTAAATCATTCATCGTAAATATGGAAGTTAAAGTTTAAAGTTGTATGAGGATCATTCACTATGGCGTTGTGAAATACAATGTTGTTTCTATTGGGAAGAACTTTACTTTTTGAAGTTGTCAAGTCAAGTGTACAGAATTATGAGATGAAGTCAGTCGATATTAGTTCCGACATGTAACGAGCAGCCTAGGAAGCTTGTGGAGCGTGTGATTTATATTGTCGTGGATCTGAGGAAGATGATGATAATTCAAACGTGAGTGAAATATGAATGTAAAGCAAATTCAGGTTTAAAGTGTCATTACCCAACTAAAAAAATTAAAGCTGACCTTGAAAGCTTTATTATTAAAATTATTTCTACTGTTTTTATTTGATAATCAGAAATCAAGTCAATAATTAATGTCGTATTTTGTCCATACAATCATTGCTGTGTAGTTTATATAAATGAAAAGGCAAAATCCTGCACATAAATACGGAAATACATATTTGACTTGAGGTATTAATGGCTTTCTTCAATCTGTGTTCAGACTTACCTTCCTTTCTTGTTGCAAGAAGATGGAAAAGAAGCTTCTGTGTATTAGTTTTTCTTCGCTGGTTCCCTGATGAATATACTCTCCTGCTGCTAGAGTTATCATTTTAATAACTTTTACTTTTCAGCGTAAAACTTCCCTGAAAACTTAACAGTATTGTGGTGTGTGGCAAAAGTTTGTATGAGTTAGACAGTCCGTGTCAATCGTAGTGTAAACTTTCCGTGGGATGTGTAGTATCAACGCTCCTTTTATGTTTCATGATTTTTTAGAGATTTATTATAAGTTCTTCGCCGATTATTGAGAGAAAAATTTACATTAACTCTAACTTACATTAACTAAGACATTTATTTAATTATTTTAAATCAAACTAACGATTTTAAAATTGTAATTAACGCGTTACTGAAGTGTGTCTACCTTCTTTTTACCCTCAGCAGTTCTATTTTTGAATAATTATCTGAATGCGCACGCGATAAAAAGTAATTTCGCGTGAACTGCATTGAACTGTAATTAGGCAAGAAGATTAACAATAATATGTCTATAAGAAGTATAAAGACTGTGTATTGTCTGTATTGTAGGACATTCATAAAACCAAACATCTTGTGCTTAACTATAACGCTTTTCGTTAACACTGGCACTGTTGTTTACGTTCTGAAGATTTTATAAGTCTTATAAGATTTTACAGTGAATACACATACTACAGCTGACACAACACAGATGCCACATTACAAATGATAGCTATGAACTTAAAGGTGGTCATCCTTCTTTCGTTGTTTTACCGTGAAAATGAACTCATAGAAAAAGCTATTTGTACTATTCGAAGGCATTGATGCAATGCTAAATTTCATAAATATATAGTTGTGTTATATATGTCCCTTTTACCGGCCATGCTACTACCTTGTCAAAATACAAGACTGTTTAGGTTTAGATTTAAACATACAAACATGGAAGTCACGCGAGATCGCGCGCGTGACAAATTGAACATGAATATGGAATGTGTCTTGTGTGGAATGTGTTCTGCACATTGAGTTACCTGGAGAGATAACGAGGCTTGGGAACTGTTGTCAATAAGATGGATGCCAAAAGGAAATTTCTACTTGAAAAATTGTTTGAACACCAAAAGGAAACTTCCACTTGAAAGTTTACAAGAAAAGTTTACTTGAAAGTTTTCTGAATTATATTTTGAAGAGATCCTTATCCATTTCCTGGGCCTGAACTCAATTCATAATGAATGGAGGAATTTTTGTAAATTTTTCTTAATGGAAGATATGCATATCTCGAAGAGAATTGGCAAATTCATGTCTGACAAGTATTTAAGTAATAAATATAAATGACTGGACCAACATCAATCTTATAACTTTGTAAAAAAAGCCTTAACCAGATAATCAGATACCAAATACGGCTAACATGACGTTTACTCCTCATTTGACTCTGAAGATGACTTGAGGGAGATATCTAGAGTGTTTGATCTCAAGAATATCTATAATCATTAAGCAATATAAAATCATTGATAGTTCCCAAAAGATTGTAGCATTTGTTTGCAATGTACGCCTAGTCTTAGTATTGTGGGGAGTTCCGATCCGCTGCGAAATCTGCAAATGAAATCAATGTTGTTAATTTTTTTACTCCTTGAATAAAGATTCAACCTACTGTGTATGCAACCTGATACAAAAAGTTTTTGCTCTGTAATATTGCAGTTCATGTTCCAATAAAAAAGTTTAATTGTTACTCAGCTTCTGCTACCAATCTCCAAAATACTACCAGGTTTTCTCCCCAATCCCAGTATAGCCAATTCTCAATCTCAATCTCTAGAATGTCCTGATGAAGATAGATCTATTTGCAATCCAATGCATGTACAGACTCGGGCAAAAAGAAAAGCTGGTTGGGTATGCCCTGAGCTGTATGGTACCTTGACCTACAAACTTAACGACTGTTCCACGACTCTTTAATGTCATTAAGAATTTGTTTCATTACATTAATACATGAAAAAAAAAAGACATTCGACATGCAATTTTTTACTTGTGTCCAAAATCCCATTAGCAACAAGGTCTTTGAAAAAGTTTATCCACCACGACGCCCATGCTCGACGCAGCATAGTCCACCACGCTTCAATTCTTTGATTACTATGGGAAGAGCCATATTGATGAGCCTTTATTCCAGAGATTACATCGGGGTGAATGCGTCGTAAGAAACTCCGAGCTGTAGCCGTTACGCAATTTTCCGTCCCTCTGTCAGTTCTTATGATGGTCGGGCAGCTTTGTTGTTCTTTTGCACAATTTAAAAACAAGTTTGCATTATCGTTGGGATTATTATTGCTTTTTGTGATCTCAAGCCACATGATGCGTCAACTAAAACCGTCAGTACATTGTGAAATTGGAATCCAAATGGTTTCAATTTATCATATCCGTCATCGTGCTAACAATGATTTGGCTCTAGATTTAGGTAGACTCTCCTTCGAAGTCGATGGGCTCTCCGTAATCTTAACCCGCCAGGGTGAATTTCACCCTTCAAAAAGTTGATTTCTCGACACTGCAAGGACCACAAGACGAATTCACAGCCGAAACCTCCACTGGAAGAGCATGAGTAATAAAGACGATTTATTAAAAATAAAAACGAAAAAAACGCGAAAAGGATTACACTGTTAGTTGGGAGAGATTCTTGTATGGATCAGTTGCATAACACAGTTAGTTGGGAGAGATTCTTGTATGGATCAGTTGCATACCACTGTTAGTTGGGAGAGATTCTTGTATGGATCAGTTGTATACCACTGTTAGTTGGGAGACATTCTTGCATGGATCACTTGCATACCACTGTTAGTTGGGAGAGATTTTTGCATGGATAACTTTAAAAACATGTTGATGATAATATTTATTAGAATCAAGATTATTTAATGTCAAATTGATTCGCATTGTTTTATCCATGTTGGATATTTGAGGTTGGTAGAAAAATTTGAAAGGCCTTAAATTTTGGATTCATGCACAATATATACCATACATTGATTACACTTCATTTTTGCTACTTATATAGTATGTAAAAAAAGAAGTGGATATTTTGTGTTCTATGCAAAAAAGAAAGGTGCTCCTTCCATTGATGTGTCTGTGCTTGCATAACAATCAGAAAGGATTAAGTACTTGATTGATTGCATTTCCCACTGTTAATAAGGTTTCGCTGCCATTTCAAACAAAAGCAAATGAACAGCAGGTTTTTGCTGTGTTGTATCATTTATAGAGAATCATCAATTGTAAGAAATTCTCACTCGTGGAATAATGTATTTCACATTGTACTTTCATTTTACTTAATTATTGCTGCATTTTATGACATAATAAAAATACCATTGAAAAGTCACAAACAAAAAGCTGCTTTTTTTGCTATATTCAAAGTTAAAATGTATGTGCAAAACACAATGTTAGATGCATGATTACCTACAAATGTTTGATTTACTTTTTTTATACATTTTGTAGAAGCTATATCCAGTCCATTCGATCAGCGGTTTTAAGTGGGTTAAATGCAGCAAACTTGTTATTAATAACGAATTGAATACATACTTTTAATCTTACTTAAATGTGCTCTAAGACGCAATGATAATATTTGTAATATCACCCCTAAGAAGTGAAAAACGATGAAATTTTTGCCATGTTGGTTGCTGTTTGCATTAGCAAATGAAGTCTAAACAAGATTCATAAGATACAGAAATATACTACGATTACTTTCAGCATATATTATTTTAGTGGATTGGATGAAAGGTTATGACATTATCCACTGACATAACTAGTTAACTTGACTTAACTTAACATAACTTGGGTGTTGAGAAGCTCTTTAAAAAGCTGTTTACGTTTTCTATCTTTATTTAAGTATTTTATTTATTCCTAAAATACAACAAAATTAGATGTTGTATTAACAATTTCACATACGAGAGTTTCTTGGTTTACATTATTTACATATTTAACAATAGCCAATCTCTACAAGACAATTATGCAAACCTTAACAAGTAAACGCCGCAGTTGCGGCTACTTTTTTGCCTTAATACCTGAATGTTGATGAAGTGACAATTATCGTGACATATACCACACACTGACGTTATATATATCAATGTGTTGATGACATAATGCTGTATTTGGAACATAATGCTGTACTTCGACAAGCCAAGCAGAGAGTCTCACGGCTTGCTTTCTTTGGTACAAGGTAGGATGGTTTTGATGACCTTAAGAAATAAATATTAACGGTTTGTTTACCATTTCCTGAAATTATTGCTGAATATTTGTATTTTAGTACAAGAAATCTTAGACATAGTATGATGTCTCACTAGTTCATTTCATATAATTTCATATACATTTACCTACACGTGACAAGTGAATCAAAACATCTACAAAAACTGTAGACGTTTTGGTTAGAAAGTTACGAGTCTCAGGAGTTAAGATAGCATGGTTGGATATAGGTTTATTTATATTTATTAACTACTTATTAGCTTTGCAATATGGTTTAGTGTGCAATATTGTGTATTTTTATACACTTAAAGTTAAAACTAATTATTGTTCTTTGGCTTCAACTACCCCCAATAACTTCCTAAACTTTTGAAATTGAACTTTCGAGAGTCCCTTGGTCATAATGTCACATAACAATACTTGATAGAAACGATGTTACTTTCGACTTGTTCTCAAATATAATGATACCACACATCTATATCTTTAGTTCTATTATGGAACTTATAGGATTTCTGGTGAGGTTAATTAAGTGGTTCGGTGATAGGTTCCTTTCGCATAAGCCAATATGACACGATCATCCCAAGATTAGCTTTAGTTGGCTGTAGTCACATTCAAACGTCATGTGCTGAGTTGCACCAGAATGGATTATCCAGTCACATCTACTTTCATTTCCATTTGTAATTAACGCTACTCATCAGTATCTTCTTGACAATTTTCACCTTGTTCATTTTCATCTTCTTTGGCACAATGTGCAGACCCTTTCCCTTTGTTCTGGAAATTATGCTTGAATTGTCCTTTTTTGGGGACAATCTCATGCAAATGTCCTCTTTTTGTACATGAGTGAATAATTCCTTTAAAAGAATGCTGATGTTTATTTTCATTCTTGTTTTAGTCCTTTTTCTTGGTGCTATTCACAGGCTGGGTATTAGTCTAGTCTTTAAGTTGGTATTAGTCTCAATCTTGGTGTTAATGTAGTGTTAATCTTCATGCTGATGTTAGTGTTAGACTTGGTTTTAGTGATAGTATTAGTTATAGTGATTGTATTAGTCATTTAGTGGTTTTAATACTGATGTTTGTCTTGGTGTTTATGATGGTGATAGTGATAGTATTAGTGATAGTGTGATGTTGCTCTCATCCTTGCTGTTTGTGACTGTGTTAGTCTTAGTTTAGTGTAGGTCTTAATACTTATGTTGGTCTTGGTGTTTGTGATGGTGATAGTGATAGTATTAGTCATAGTGTGATGTTTGTCTAATCCTTGCTGTTTGTGATTGTGTTAGTCTTACGTTAAAAAAAAGTAATTTTTTTTTGTGTATTTCTTTTTATAATTAGGTGTTTTTGGTGGTGTTAGTCGTATATCGAGTCGCAAGAAAGAATCGTTTTGAAGAACTGTTTGGAATCACCTGTGTCCGATACATAGATAATAAAGCATGTTACATCTAAACAGCCCGACTAAAAGGTGAACAGGAAACAACGACAGCAAGTGCAATGGCAGAACAACGATGAAATTGAATTTAACAAAGCTGCTTTTGAAACACTTGTCTCTTTGATTTTCTAAAGAAGACATAAGTAACTATAGATGTTTTACTAATGTATTATTAAACTAACATTAATATAAATGTATATATTTGTGTAACTCTTTCACACTATATATGTACACTCCTTCTTCGTGTAATTTTTACGAATGTGATTTTTGGTTTGTTGCTTTATCTTCAATGGTCTATTTTTTTTGCATTAAATCCTTCAAGGTAGGAATAGCACTTTAAAATGACCAGGTGTCTTCAACGAACTCTCTGGTCTAGTGGATAGACACAACCTTTCGAGGTTGAGAGTGGAGGTTCGAGCCCTGTCTGGAAAAAGATGTAACTATGCTAAGGATGAATAAGAAATAGGAAAATAAGGAAATAGTGCTGGTTAATAGAACAAAAATGGGATTTCTATTACTAAACTTTTCGAGAATGGAATGCGACACTTAGTATAAATTCAGAAAAAAAACGCTCTCCGATGAGAAGGAGAGCGAAGAAAAAAAAAAGATAGGATCCCATGCAAAAAACCACTCTTAAAAAAACTAAGTCTTTTGCTCAAATTTTTTTATGACTCCCTGTGATCAGGGAGTTATTTTTTTAAATTTTGAAAAGTCAGGAAACCCAAGAGCAAACAGAACGCCCTAATCATCCCTTTCTTACATCCAGGCACTCGTTCCTCAGTTCGACTTTCTGTCTTCCACATCCACCGCGTACACCTGCCAAGTGTGTTGGCAGAGGGGCGAACCAAGGATCTTGTGCACCGGAGGTCATTGATGTCGAACTAAACGCCCAACATCGGCCAGTTGAACTAACCGCTCATCATCGAAAGCTCTATGTTTTTTGGAGTATTTGTCAAATTTTTTCAATGTGAAGCGAAAGAAAAGGAGAAGGTCTTGAACCTTAGATGGTCTTGAACCCGAGAAGGTGAGAGCACTGCACCGACATCTTTACCACTCGGCCAGACGGGTGAATTGGAAAACCGTTTAAAACATGTCAAGTGTTTCTGACTAGACAACACTGCCTTCGTTTCTCTTGAGGCTCACATTTAATACTGTATTTGTTTTGTTCTTTGTCACCATCATTGCAAAGATGAAGAAAGAGACTTACTACGCATTTTAGTTGTTCAACTCTAACATTGCAGGAGAATAAATCATATAACTGAAAGGAGGAAGACGAATGAAGTATGCACAATGTCAGACATTGCCATGTGGTAAATCAGAAAAACAACGCGCATGTTCGTAGTCCATTTAATGGCGCTGGGAGTTTCTAACTTGTCTGTTCAAAGTTAAATAAAATATTTTTTAATTTTTTACCATCATGCATGATAATATTGTAATGGTTTGTACAAAAGCATATGGTTCCTACAGAACAGTATCCACTTACTAATTCAAGTCTTTTGTCAATTTACAATCTTGCCATGTCTTGAGTGTCATCATTTCATCTATAGTCAATGTAATCAATATAGCCAATGCGGTTTTTGTCGACATTTGTGTCTATCTTCTTGTCTACCTTTGTGTCTACCTTCTTGTCCACCTTTGTGTCTACCTTTGAAATGACTAATTGAAAAATTAGTCATTTCATAGTCGAAAGTATTCCAAGTAATCGAAGGTAGTCAATTCACGCGATGCCATGTGGTAAATCAAGGCAGTGACGAGCATGTCTTAGGTCATTTTTTCCGATGCAATGGCGTCGAGATCATTTGACTTTATGTTTGAACTAACTGAACTATTTTTTATCATCATAACGCACCAACCATATTCTTTTCATCGTTGGTTTTGGTTGCGCACAAACAAAAGTTAAATAGCAAGGACAAAGAAACCTATGAAATGGCGTCTTTTATGATATCGTCTTTTATACAATGACAACTTTTTCTCTTTTATGTAATCGATTACATCTTTTTCTCTTTCTATTCATGCATTTTCACAAATTTTAACACTTTTCCCAACAAAGACTATGGAAGTGTCGCATTCCATTCTCGAAAAGTTTAGTAATAGAAATCCCATTTTTGTTCTATTAACCAGCACTATTTCCTTATTTTCCTATTTCTTATTCATCCTTAGCATAGTTACATCTTTTTCCAGACAGGGCTCGAACCTCCACTCTCAACCTCGAAAGGTTGTGTCTATCCACTAGACCAGAGAGTTCGTTGAAGACACTTGGTCATTTTAAAGTGCCATTCCTACCTTGAAGTATTTAATGCAAAAAAAAAAATAGACCATTGAAGGTCTCGAATCAAAATTATAGCAGAACACTTCCAGGTAAAGATAAAACAACAAACCAAAAATCATATTCGTAAAAATTAGACGAAGAAGGATTGTTGATATAAAGAGTGAAAGAGTAGTACAAATATATAAATTTATATTAATGTTAGTTTGGTAATACATTAGCAATACATTTATAGTTACTTATGTCTTCTCTTAAAAAAGATAGAGACAAGCATGTCTGTAATGTACAAATCTTTAAATTTATTATTTACAACTAAAGTACAATACGTGAAAAATATATTTAAATATAGGTTCATCTATATAAACATAATCTTGCATGTTGATGATGTATCTGTTTGAAATGAAAAAAAATCAATTTCAAGATAGAAAAATAATACGTCATTCAAATTATTAAACTTTATCGACTCAAAGCATGCAGTTTAAAGCTGCATCACATGCACTGCATGACTTGATGTCAGTTATTTATCGTTGTTAGGAATATTGTCTCATTTTAAGCTGTTGAAAGACCTTCATGTAAAGATATTGTTGCAATACAAGTTGTCTAGCCTGCCGTATCTCATCACCATTCTTCATTTTATGCACAGTTAGAGTTTCGACCATGTATTTGAAACACAAACATGACCAATAATCCTCTAAACATTTTCTTCAAAAGTAACGTAATATTTACCTATAAGGGAATTCTTTTTTAAATTGCACGGACCTCTGATTTCTTGTACATCGATTTACGTTTCTGACTACGATACTACAGAATGTATAAGTGTAGATTTGATACTGAAAAACATGAAATTTCAAAAATATCCATTTGAAAACGCAGGAAAGTGGTCTTACTTGTTGTCTATAATTGGGTCGAACCTTGTTGTCTTTCATCTATGGAAAAATAATTGTAACAAAAATCACTATAAATTCATCATCAGAGTACTGACGTTTCTAAAACCTTTGAGGTAGTCATCTTTAGACTCAACCTGAGAAGGACTGTTGTTGTTGAAGTTGACTGACGTTTCTATAACCTTTGAGGTAGTCATCTTCAGAGTTAACCTGAGAAGGACTGTTGGTGTTGATGATGACTGACATTTCTAAAACCTTAGAGGTAGTCATCTTCAGAGTCAACCTGAGAAGGACTGTCGTTGTTGAAGTTGACTGACGTTTCTATAACCTTTGAGGTAGTCATCTTCAGAGTCAACCTGAGAAGGACTGTTGGTATTCATGATGACTGACGTTTCTAAAACCTTAGAGGTAGTCATCTTCAGAGTCAACCTGAGAAGGACTGTTGGTGTTCATGATGACTGACGTTTCTAAAACCTTAGAGGTAGTCATCTTCAGAGTCAACCTGAGAAGGACTGTTGGTGTTCATGATGACTGACGTTTCTAAAACCTTAGAGGTAGTCATCTTCAGAGTCAACCTGAGAAGGACTGTTGGTGTTCATGATGACTGACGTTTCTAAAACCTTAGAGGTAGTCATCTTCAGAGTCAACCTGAGAAGGACTGTTGGTGTTCATGATGACTGACGTTTCTAAAACCTTAGAGGTAGTCATCTTCAGAGTCAAGCCGAGAAGGACTGTTGGTGTTGATGATAACTAACGTTTAGAAAACCTTAGAGGTAGTCATCTTCAGAGTCAACCTGAGAAGGACTGTTTGTCTGGTTCGAAGTATTTGTTTTCCGGCTCATAGTATGTGTGTAGAGAAAATGCGCGGGCGTCAATTGTGTTTTGTGGGTTAGTCTAAAAAAGTGTGCTTAATTTTTTGTTTGTTTCTTCGTTTGTTTCTAAAAACATGTAAATTCGTCATCTTTAGTCATATTCAAATACGATGGCGAATATTGCTTGGTCTTATTGAATAATACATGCCTAGAGCTTTCTAACTCTGCAAAACAAGTTGTATCATTACTTCGTATAAATAGTTAACTTACGTGCTCATATTGACCAAAGATGAGCCGCTCTTTAACCAGATGGCATTGTACCTCTGATGAAGACTATAAAATTTTAGGAGAAATAATGTCAATCCCTTGTGTGGTTAATAGCAGTGCTGAAGAAAGTGGGGGGGGGGGGCGCTCGGTAGAGGATCCCCCTCCTATGGTGTTGATGATGACTGACGTTTCTAAAACCTTAGAGGTAGTCATCTTCAGAGTCAACCTGAGAAGGACTGTTTGTCTGGTTCGAAGTATTTGTTTTCCGCCTCATAGTATGTGTGTAGAGAAAATGCGCGAGCGTCAATTGTGTTTTGTAGGTTAGTCTATAAAAGTATTTAATTTTTAGTTTGTTTCTTTGTATAAACAGTTAACTTACGTGCTCATATTGACCAAAGATGAGCCGCTCTTCAACCAGATGGCATTGTACCTCTGATGAAGACTATAAATTGTTAGGAGAAATAATGTCAATCCCTTGTGTGGTTAATAGCAGTGCTGTAGAAGTAGGGGGGGGGGCGCTCGGGGAGGAGCCCCCTTCTACCTTTGAAATGGGTAATTTTTCATAATTTCATGACTTCAGCTTAGTCAAGAGAGCCCCCCCATCTGATAAATTTAGTTCTACAGCACTGGTTAATAGTATCTGCGTTTCAGCCAAAAATTTCTAGAACTTTTTAGCCGAAATCAAAGCTAAGAAAGTAAAATCTTTCCTAAGTCACACTTCTAACATGGTGCTTTCCTCTAAGACGTTAAACATTTTTTGAATAAATAAAGAGCTATGATTTTTTTGGTTAATCAAATATTGAACTTCAATCAACAACTTTTTTTGAAAAGTTTACTTTGAACAAAATTTACGTTTTCTCTTTGCCATACCTTGGAGTTGGGATTTTTTTTCATAAAGCATAAAGAACAACCTGAACATTGCTCGTTCTCTTGCAGAATCTGGTTGTCGTTGTATTCTTCTTGCTGTAAAAATTTTTTTACACATTATAACATTTACTATACTTGCATCAAGATGAGGTTATTGAAGGATTTGTGAAGTTCACAGTTTGCGTACTACAAAATATCAAGTTCGTAGCGAGAGCAAAATCTCAGTCACGGCTCTTACGTAAAAATCTTTCACGCTCATTCATCCAAACTATTCATAAACACATTTATCAAATTATGTTTCTATCTTAAGATTCCAACTTACGTTTTGACAAACTGAATTATACCATCGACTAAGCATCAGCTGCTGTTTAATATTGGTACTGTACCATTGATTGGGGAGATGTTGATGAGCATTGTCATTTTCCCATTGATTGGGGAGATGTTGATGGCCATTGCCATTTTCCCGTTGATTGGGAATTTCATGTCGATGAGTATTGTCATTCTCTCGTTGGCTGGGAATTTCATGTTGATGAGCATGGTCATTTTCCTGTTGGTTGGGAATTTCATGTTGATGAGCATGGACATTTTCTTGTTGGTTGGGAATTTCTTGTTGATGAGCATGGACATTTTCTTGTTGGTTGGGAATTTCATGTTGATGAGCATGGACATTTTCTTGTTGGTTGGGAATTTCATGTTGATGAGCATTGTCATCCTTCCGGATCCTAACCCTCTTAGCTCGAACAACATCAATTCTTCGTTTAAGGTCTGCTTCGGACGTTTGTAATTGCTCCAACTCTTGCTGCAATCTTTGTATCTTTGTTTCCATCTTTGTCATCTTTATCACAATTTCCATATTGTCATCCTCCCGTTCGTTGGGAATTTCATGTTGATGAGCATTTTCATCATCCCGTTGTTTGGGAATTTCATGTTGATGAGCATTGTCATTTTCCGTTGGTTGGGAATTTCATGTTGATGAGCATGGACATTTTCTTGTTGGTTGGGAATTTCATGTTGATGAGCATGGACATTTTCTTGTTGGTTGGGAATTTCATGTTGATGAGCATGGACATTTTCTTGTTGGTTGGGAATTTCATGTTGATGAGCATGGACATTTTCTTGTTGGTTGGGAATTTCATGTTGATGAGCATTGTCATCCTTCCGGATCCTAACCCTCTTAGCTCGAACAACATCAATTCTTCGTTTAAGGTCTGCTTCGGACGTTTGTAATTGCTCCAACTCTTGCTGCAATCTTTGTATCTTTGTTTCCATCTTTGTCATCTTTATCACAATTTCCATATTGTCATCCTCCCGTTCGTTGGGAATTTCATGTTGATGAGCATTTTCATCATCCCATTGTTTGGGAATTTCATGTTGATGAGCATTGTCATTTTCCATTGGTTGGGAATTTCATGTTGATGAGCATGGACATTTTCTTGTTGGTTGGGAATTTCATGTTGATGAGCATGGACATTTTGCCATTGATTGGGAATTTCATGTTGATGAGCATGGACATTTTCCCATTGGTTGGGAATTTCATGTTGATGAGCATGGACATTTTCCATTGATTGGGAATTTCATGTTGATGAGCATGGACATTTTCTTGTTGGTTGGGAATTTCATTTTGATGAGCATGGACATTATCTTGTTGGTTGGGAATTTCCTGTTGATGAGCATTGTCATCCTCCCGTTGGTTGGGAATTTCCTGTTGATGGCCATTGCCATTTTCCCGTTGATTGGGAATTCATGTTGATGAGCATGGATATTGTGCCATTGATTGGGAATTTCCTGTTGATGAGCATGGACATTGTGCCATTGATTGGGAATTTCATGTTGATGAGCATTGACAAATTGCCAATGATTGGGAATTCCATGTTGATGAGCACGGACATTGTGCCATTGATTAGGAATCCCATGTTGATGAGCATGGACATTGTGCCATTGATTGGGAATTTCATGTTGATGAGCATTGACATTGTGCCATTGATTTGGAATTTCATGTTGATGAGCATTGACATTGTGATATTGATTGGGAATTTCATGTTGATGAGCATGGACATTGTGCCATTGATTGGGAATATGATAGTGATCACCATTCCCATTAGACCATTCATTTGGAGCTTCCTGCTGTTCAACATTAGCAAACTAAAAATATTCAGAAAGCAGACATTTGAGGAAACGAATGAATAAACGTATTTATATCTCGTCGATTTTGAAATTAAAAATTACTTTTTCATCAACGGGATTGTGCCCATGCTCATTCATATTTTGTTTGTCAACTTTGTCATCCTAAAATAATTGTACAAAAGACAAATGATAAAAAATCTTTCCTTTAATTAGTCCTTGTTAAGTTTTTCGATTCTACAATTTCAACTAACTTTATTCTTGGATGACGGCGGAGTATATCCTTGATCTTTTGTGGTTTCATCACCGCAATTCGATTCCTAAAAACATTACTAGAATATGCATCTTGGCTTTATGGTTACTTTGAAAGTTTCACGCAAGAAAATATGTGTACGTGAAAATGCCAGAAAATTATACAAATCCAAACACCGTTTCGAGGAAATTCAAACGTACATCTTCATCAATGACATCTTTGACAACATCAGCCACAACGCTTGCTGCTTCTTTTGCAGCCTCTTCATCCTGTGACTTTGGCTGAAAAATATCATATGTCAGTGTAAACGTCAAGAAAAAACGCATCATTCAACATTTTTATGCTTTATTTTGATGATATGAAAATACGTCTTTTTCTATAGAAAAAAGCATATTTTCACCAGAGTTATATGACGAACGTATTTTGGCAAATAGAGACTTTCCAAAGATTTCGAGACTTACCTCTTTAAACAGACAATCTGATCGAGATGTATCTTCGGACGAGTCCTGCAAATAGCCATTAACGCATGATTTCGTAAATTCCTTTGTAATCTGCGTTATTCTATTTCAACTCACGTGATTTTGTCATCTGATTACCTTATTTCTAGCCTGATAAATTTCTGTTATGCTATACACGTTTTACAACCCGTGTCCTAACATGCTTTTTTTATCGTGCAGCATTCCTAATTCATGCTAGCTCTCTCTCTCTTATTTGATAAAGGTTATTTACCATGCACCCAAACAACGTTTTTTACTAAAGAATTGAGGATACACGCGTGGATATTCAGAAAGGATACACACGCGTGGATATTCAGTGTGGATATTCAGAAGGATACACGCGCAGATACATGGATATGCATTCAGAATGTTAAATTGATGAAGAAAATATTTTGCAGTTGATTATACACTGTAAATAAACTTTGTTTTACTGTTTTCCTTTGGTTTTTAGGTAACTTTTGGTATTTTTTGTAACTTACCGTATCATCTTCATCAAGATCATCGGAGCAATGTCCTTCATTCATATAACTCGGCTGAGGTAAAAATAAGAATGGAACATGTTAGAGATATTCAGGAGGCTATTTTGTTTGAACAAACGTCAACAAATTGCAGCAAAAAATGAAGCACAGATGAAATTACTCCACGTACCACATCAATCAGTTCAAACAAATCGTTTTTTCCAACGTAATTGTATTCCTGCAGTTTTTTGTAAATCTACACACGGGAAAACCATAACATATTAACATTTCGCAAATGAACAGCCCACTTGTTTTTGTGGATTGATCATTCGCGAAAAACAAACCATAAAATCGTATAGTTCATACCTGATGCAACAGTGATATAAAATTCCTGGATCCCATTACTCCGACCAACGACTGCAAAGTAAATAAATTTCCAAATATAAACAATATCTTTTCAAGTATGTCTTCGTTATTAATGATGACGTGTTTTACACGATAGAAGAATCTCACCGTATCGGGATGAACATCGAGAAGGCCAATTTGTTTGGCTGTTCTCTGTGATAAAAGGTAACAAGTCAGTAAAACTACATACAATTTAATGAATTTGAAAAACGCCATTTGCAAGTCTCGTCTTGAGAAGACTAAGATGACTAAGTAATATAAATTTTCTACTTACTACGATAGTCGGTTGATGCATCAGAACGTTTATCTTCACGTACAGAACCTGGAGATATTAAAGAAAATTATGAATTACGTAATGTATACGTCACAGACTATATATATGAAGATGACGTATACATTCTTAATACAATGACCACTGTCTAACTGTACAGGAGACAATGTTTGGTACGAGATAACTAACTTCTTTGCGATAGTTGTATAAAGTGAAAATGAATTTTTCAGGTTCAAATGTTTGTTCATTTTTTCTGATCAATTTCTGGATTAACTAACCCAACAAAAATCATGGGTTCCTTTAAAAAACGGCAATATTTGAAAAATATATAAATGCTGAAATTATTTTGTTTTTTACTTACAATGTTGAGATTATTAAATAATATCTGGCTCATGTAGGCTGCTGTCAACGGCTGCAAAAATAAAATCATAAAGTTTTCACAAGCTCCATGAAATCCTTATTCGATCTCGCAAGTTGGAAATTGCTCACCGTTCTTGTAAACAAATATGACTTTACCTCCGAAGGATCTATAGACACACGTGGCTCAGATTTGTTCTTTTCCTTCGAATGGCATGACTCGTCCTCAGAATCATCCGAAAGGTCCTCACGCTCCAATATTTCAATGTCGTCCAACTCATCTTCTTGGGTATCCTTCGATCCCATGATGTCATTGTCAATGTCATCTTCGTCTTTCATATTCTGAAGGATGTGATGTTCGTCATGCTCCTGCACTTCAATGTCGTCCAACTCATCTTCTTGGGTATCCTTCGATCCCACGATGTCATCATTGTTAATGTCATCTTCGTCCTTCATATTCTGAAGGATGTGATGTTCGTCATGCTCTTGCACTTCAAAATGCTCCAACTCATCTTCTTGGGTATCCTTCGATCCCACGGTGTCATCATTGTTAATGTCATCTTCGTCCTTCATATTCTGAAGGATGTGATGTTCGTTATGCTCCTGCACTTCAATGTCGTCCAACTCATCTTCTTGGGTATCTTTCGATCCCACGATGTCATCATCAATTGATGACATCGTGGGATCGAAGGATACCCAAGAAGATGATCATGTATACCCAAGAATGATGATCATCAATTGTGATCATCATTCAAGACGAATAGAAAATATCTTTTTAGAAAATTATGAACCAGCATTAGTTTCGTTTCCAACACAGGAATCTGAAATTGGTCGAGAGATATTATCAATAAGTGTGATGGTAAAAAGCAAATAATCTTTATGTAAAGATGATTATCGTGTTTTAAAGATCTTTCGACAATCGATAACTTACAAGTTTTGATGTCATATCAATGTATGGTATTATAGATAACTCTTTCTGCTTTGGAACAAGTTGGATCTGAAATTCATGGCAACATACGACAAATCAATATTTATTGGTTTATCAGATTGGATGTTCTTTACCATTTATATGTAACTGGCATTAAATTAAACTCACGCTCTTTTCTATATTGATCTCGTACAGATTATAAGCAACCACCAGTTTTCTTTCTGACATTGGTATCTAAAGTTTATTTAGTGACGTGATTGTACATAGAGTAAAGGTGATTGGATTTGAAAGATCTTTTGACAAACGATAAACTTACAAGTTTTGATGTCATATCTATGTATGGTATTATAGATAACTCTTTCTGCTTTGGAACAAGTTGGATCTGAAATTTATGGCAACATATGACAAGTTAACATTTAGTGATTTATCAGCTTAAAGATAACATTTGTTATGTATAACTTATATCAAAATGAACTCACGCTCTTTTCCATCTTGACAACATACGGAATATAAGCAAAAACCAGTTTTCTTTCAAACATTGGCATCTAAATTTGTTATTTAAAGAGATGTTGTAAATTAGAGATGGCAAATAAAAATTAAAGGTGATTAGCTAGATATACTGAGAGATCTTTTAATAATCGATAAACTTACAAGTTTTGATGTCATATCAATGTATGGTATTATAGATAACTCCTTCTGCTTTGGAACAAGATGGACCTGAAATTTATGGCAATATATGACAAATTAACATTTAGTGATTTATCAGCTTAAAGATAACATTTGTTATGTATAACTTATATTAAAATGAACTCACGCTCTTTTCCATCTTGACAACATACGGAATATAAGCAAAAACCAGTTTTCTTTCAAACATTGGCATCTAAATTTTTTATTGAAGATATTTAGAGATATTGTAAACTAGTCATGGTACATAAAAATTAAACGTGATTAGCTAGATATATTAAAATATCTTTTAATAATCGATAAACTTACAAGTTTTGATGTCATATCAATGTATGGTATTATAGATAACTCTTTCTGCTTTGGAACAAACTGAATCTGAAATTTATGGCAATATATGACAAGTCAATATTTATTGGTTTATCAGATTTAGATCTTCATCAAACATTTATTTTAAATAACTAATATTAAATTGATCTTACCCTCTTTTCCATCTTGATCACATACGGATTATAAGCAAGCACCAGTTTTCTTTCCGACATTGGCATCTAAATTTTTTTGAGAGATAGTTTCAATTAGTGTGATTGTACGTAAAATTACAGTTGATTACATTCTAAAGATATTTGAATATCGATAAACTTACAAGTTTTGATGTCATATCAATGTATGGTATTATAGATAACTGTTTCTGCTTTGGAACAAGTTGGATCTGAAATTCATGGCAACATATGACAAATTAATATTCAGTGATTTATCAAATATAGATCTTGATCTAACAGATACAAGTTGACTTTGAACTTACGCTCTTTGGTGTGTTCGCCAAATAAGGCTTAAAAACACAAGCTGGTTTTCTTTTTAAGACGGGCATCTGAAATTTTCACGACATATTGTCAATAGAAATGGTTCGCGAAGAGCCACGGGGCTCAGGTACGATCACTAACTACATTTGAAAGATGACTCACTAAACTCACAAATTTGGATCTCATGTTGATGTATGTTATGATGGCCAACTGTTGCATCTTTTGAATGAAATGAAATATGAATATGGTTGGTGCGTATGATCATAAAAATAGTTCAGTTAGTTCAAACATAAAGTCAAATGATGTCAAATGTCAAATGAAATAAAGTCAAATGATGTCAAATGTCAAATGAAATAAAGTCAAATGAAGTCAATAAAGTCAAATGAAACATTTATCAATTTAAGAAAGATTTGACTAACGTTTTCTGGTACATTAACCTCGTGAGGTTCACGATCAACGACAAGTTTTCTTTTTAACACGGGCATCTAAAATTTTTCACGATATTAGTCAACTTCATGGTTTCATAGATAGCCAAGAGGTAGATAACGAAAACTCACAAGCTTGGAACTCATGTCAATGTATGGTATCATAGCCAATTGTTGTTGCTTTTGTGGAGCTTGCGCCTAAAATTCGTTTGCATGAATGAAACAGGTTATATTATGGGGAAAGTATGGATCATCAACATAATCAATGGTTAATATAAAACGGATAGCCAAGAGCAAGCCTTTGTGCTACGTAGCAAATTAATCAAATAAGTATTGATTTTACACTCAGACACAACGTGCAAAGTTGGCTCATTCGATAAAAGTTTTAGTTTTCAATTCTTACACAATGACTCTATCACTACAGTCACGAAATGTTAGGGTTCGTAGCATTTTATGTGCAGTAAATGTTGGCTACATAAACGATGGGGCACTACCACTGGCCAGTCCATTTTAGCTTACTCCTCCAGAGCAAATATATACACGCAATGATATCATGTCTGAAATTTACACAGTGAAAATGACGAAACACGTTTGCTGGATACGGTAATGTCTTCATATACTTGACGTGGAGCTTAATTTCACCAGCGAAAAGTATTAAAGAATATACAGAGTTTTTATAGAGTTATCATAGATTTCCTGTCTACATGTGTCCAAAAAAGTTAAGTAAAAAACACAGATGATTTCTATGTACGTAATGCATGATCATGTAAAGATGACATGGCTTCATGAAGAAATTAATGTACGTAATGCATGATCATGTAAAGATGCCATGGCTTCATGAAGAAATTAATGTACGTAATGCATGATCATGTAAAGATGCCATGGCTTCATGAAGAAATTAATGTACGTAATGCATGATCATGTAAAGATGCCATGACTTCATGAAGAAATTAATGTACGTAATGCATGATCATGTAAAGATGCCATGGCTTCATGAAGAAATTATTTAGACTTGTTTTGATTAGAAAAGTGATTAGCTAAAATGTTTGCTTATGTAAGTTTTGTTCTGCTCAAGTCAAACATAGTGTAGCTAAAAGTTCAAGATGAAATCGGGATGCGTTGAGAGCAATAAAATATTGTTTTGTTTTGGTGAATGTTTTTGTATGTTTTCCAAAAATCGAAAACAATTGAAATTCTTGAAAATGCGTCGAGTTAAGTTAAAGGAAGTAGTCTTTCGTCTTTTGTTCCGTAGGCAATTTCGTCTTTATGAAAATTGGACTTCATGTTTACATTCCAAAACGGTTGAAAATTTTCCGAAATGAATGCACTCTCATTTATTCCAAGTCAATTATCAGTAACGTCATCAAACTTTTCTCACCAATCACAATCGTGCGCATGCACTTCGTAGCACAATCGCTAAAGGAGACCTGGGTCTGAGTTTCTTGTTGCTATGACAAATAATTAGTTTTAGCAAGAAAGCGCAGAAAACCTTTCGATTCATAGCGAAAAAATGCTACACTCGTATTACTCATAAGAAAGCTATTGACCCAAGAAGAAAAAAAAAACAAAAACACACGAAAAAAATGTTTTTATTTACTGTAAAGAAAAAACACACAATTAGCTATAACATAATTCATTACAAAGTAATATAATTGCGACAAAAACTTCAGAAAACTTTATAAAAATGTTTAACTTGTTGCGTTATAGCTACTCACCCAAAAAGAGCATATTTAGCAATTAAACTTTACAAGATACTATAAAAATGATTGGTACTTACTTCGTCTGAATTTTTTTCAGAAAGATCAACTTTTGATGTCTTCTCCGCGATCGTGACGCTGAACATTTTGGATTCGGAGTTCGAGACGCAGTTTTTTCTGCGTTCTCGTTTGCTTTTTTTATCCTTTCCGAAGCGGCAAGAGAAACAGTTACCCATTTTCTCGTTGCTACTTAACTGCAATGAAAATATCTCTCTTTCGAAATTGCTTTGAAAATATGTAGAACCTTGCGATGCGAGCTATTGCTGCGAAATGAACAAATTAACATTGCGTGTTTATTCTGACGATAGTAATTGGCTCCGTGAGCATTGTTACGTCACTAATTGGTTCCGTGCGCTTTGTTACACCATTAATTCTAAAGAGCCCGGTGCATGCTGGTCGTGCCTTGGGAACTCTAGCACAACCTGTGACGTTAAATCATGGCAAAACACTGAAGTGGATCCTAGTGTTGTATAGCTGGCTGTTCTCTAGACAGTTATTGAGGTCGTATATGGCATTGTATTGAAATTAGGTATAGTAGTTCTCCTAATAATTAAACTTCAGCAGAACAAGCGAGTAAATTTGAAACACTGACTACGGAGCCTGTTCAAAAGAGGACGGAGGAGAATAAGATGAGAAAATGTATGTGTATGTGGGACGCTGAATTCTCCTCCCCTCCCCCCCGAATCAATTGCTTGTCTATGGAAAAAGTGTAAAGCAGAGGCATGTCTGCTATGTTATGCAGGCTGCGAACCGTGACTGAAAAAAGCCAAAAAAACTTAATTGATGTTAGGACAGTGAACACTTATTTTTTGCGTGAATTAAGTGTTTTTATTATGTTAGTATTGACTCAAAAAATTTCTTCGTAATATGATTGGCTGATGTCTCGTAAGGTTGCAGTATTTAACAAATGGAAACACAAAGGAAAATTCATCATTTATATTTTCAGTAAATCTGTGCTCTTCAATATGGCGAACCGCTGTGGCCAAATATTCATTCGAAATGTGTTATTTTTTTCATTATTTTGTCATAGTTTCTCAAGCATATACGGTTTGGAACTTGCAAGCTCGAATGGATATGTGAGAAGAGAACATTCACTTTCGAAACCATTTCAAGGTGCTGCATTTTAAAAACTATTTTTCTTCGGTCGAACCGGCTGCTCGTGCTCGGCGCCCCGACGGACTTTTGAGCCTTCAAAATTTGACGGAAATCAAATTTGGATCGCTCTCAAAACATGCACTTTTTTGTATATGCGCCTTCTTGACACTTCTTAAGCGTTGCTGCTGGTTATTTTTTTAATTTATGTAGAAATAAATTGACATTGATGAAAATCTACAATTGATTTGCTAACTCAGCATGTTCAGAATTAATCAATAGTAGTATTTCAAAGTTTTCCAACATGTAAGTTGTGGCGTTTTTGTCATAGTCCTTAGAGCTTACAGCAGTTTTTATTTAGTTGGTAGCACTAGCCTGCAATTTTGGGATTTTGGTGGTGACACATTGATAACCAGTAATCATATCCGATTGACCGAGGATCATCAAAGTCAAAAAGGGTTTATTTGGAACACATTGGTCAGTGGTAATAAAATAAGATTTGTTTTATGTCCGAGTAGTGAATTAACATGAAAACTTCTTTTACCATACAGCCTGTAACAGCTCGCGATTGGGAAATCCATATCCATTTTTCAGTTCATGGTTCTGGAGATTCACTTTATGGAGATGGCTTTGCGTTCCATTATGCTAAAGAGAAAATGGAATTCGGTAATAAATTGAGTTTATTTAGTAAATTTCATTAAATCTATGGATGTGGAAAGTTCATATGATAAATTTATGCACAAATGTTATTTGTATTGTTTAGGTCCAGTCTTTGGAAGCAAAAATTTCTTCTCAGGACTTGCTGTTTTCTTTGACACTTATAGTAATGCAAATGGTGATAACGCTGTAAGATTGATATCCATTGAAGTTTTCTTCAAAGCAAACCACATTTCAGCAATGATTTTTCTTCTTGATATAGGCAGACCACCCTTATATATCAGCTATGGTAAACAATGGTACCTTAAACTACGACCATAATCGTGATGGTGCTTATTCACAAATACAGGGCTGCTCGGTTTGTATTTTACCTCTTGTATAACTGTTTTCATGATTTCAAGCGCTCATTGAATATCTTCATGGTCCAATTTTGACAGTTCAGATATTTTCTTAGGCTTCTTTTCGCAATAATGGAGCGGAAACATATGCTTTGATTCAGTACTTGGGTAGCAAAGAAACTTTAACAGTTATGACAGACATTGATAGTGATGGTGAATGGAAAGCATGTCTTCAGGTCTCTGGTATACGACTTCCGACTTCATATTTCATTGGTCTTAGCGCTGCTACTGGCAATTTGGCAGGTGGGTCACTGTAAAATGGCTTATGAATTTCTCAGGAGCAAAAAAGATATTGATAAAATACAAGAAAAGTCGTTCTTCTGAACTGTGTTATGGTAAAGTTGTGTCGGCCAAGCATTTCTTTGTTTCCCTGAAAAGATTGAGTAAATAGGATTTTGGTAGTTTTTTTGCTTTCAAACGTAACACATTGCTGACAAAGACATTAAAGAACGAGTATAACAGTAATGCCTTGCGCGCTTAGCGAGCCATAGCCATTTTAGGGACATCCAATGATGGCGTCATTTTAGGTTGTTAGTTCCACAAAATGTCTACTTTCCCTGCCAAATCTGGTCTATTAACGCTAAAGCGTGGTAGGGCATGAAATGAAGACGAAATAGCAAGAGTAAAGTTTGGAGAAAGACGTTATTTTAAGTTCAGTTATTCAGTTGAACTATCTGCATCATATATCAGAAGTTTAATTCCAGTAGTAAACACAGGCGTGCTGTAATATTCATTCTTTGGATGTCGCGTTACCTGTTAAGATCATCTTTGAAAAACGTCGTTTTATCGTGGTACTAATCATAATTCCTGCACAACAGATAATCACGACATCGTCGGTTTGAAATTCTACGAGTTGGAAGTTGAGAAAGATGAACAAACAGTTAGAAGTACAGAAAACACCGATGACATTGTCCCATTTGTAAAAGCGGAACCTGTTAAAGGTCAGTAAGTTCAATACATATCATGGCTCATACATACTAGGGCACGATTTTGTTTTGCATACCTTGTACAATATCATGACTCATCATACCAGCGACGTTGACATTTAAAATTTTTTTCTTCCAGAGCCTGTCGAGAATTCCCCGAAAGGACACTATACACGGCGAATGACGAAAGCGTTCACGTGGTTTTTCTGGATTTTGGTGGTCGGTGTCATTGTTTGTGTGGTCGGATTTTTTGTATACAAGAAGCAACAGGAGGCTGCACGCAAACGATTTTTAACGAAATGAACAAATATCGCTTCTGCATCGCTAAAATTTGTAATCTTTACACAAAATGCCTCAAGACAGATGGCGGCATGTCTATTTTACCAGAATGCATTTCAATCTTCACACAAAACGGATGAATGTGTGTTTGTGCGTGTGTAATCTCGAAACGACGTCTGTTCAACAATATGTACGTCAAATCGAATTTGGAGTATTCATAACTTATTGGAAAATACTCATCCGTCATCTCCAGTTATTGGAAAAATACTCATCCGTCATCTCCAGTTATTGGAAAAATTCTCATCCGCCATCTGCAGTTAATTTCACAATCGAGAAGTTACAAATTGTTGCGTTTGAATTGCCACATTGTTTGAGGCAACAACACACTCACCGCCTGTTGTAGCTCTATAAATAATTCAAAATAAATTATCGCGGGAATGCGGGCTCAAACAGGTCGTTGAAAGACTAATCACTCGAACTTTTTTTTTCATTGGCAAAGTAATTCAACCATAGTTAACTGGAAGAAACAAGGCGCCGCCGCGCAATGCATAACGGTATCAATTTACTGGTTAACGTATATGTTTACTGTGCTCACTATTTTAGCTACTTTTTCTATCATTCAATAATCTGTGTATACATCACAAATCCGGACGCTAGCAAATATCCAAATTACATTTGGATAAAAATATTTCGGATTTTCTTTATTTGAAAATTAGACGAAGACATAATTAATTAATTGAAGACATCGTTACAAGTAAAATACGTGTTTTTTTAAACAAAGGATAGAACGCTTCGTCTATCCATGTAAGTTAAATAATATCAGCCTGTCAGCCTCTGTAATACATCGTGCTAAGGTTCATTTTACAGACAAGAACTCCTACACTGCAGCTATATGATTAGCTGCAAGCAAGTCTTGACACAAAATAAGGTGAGTTGAATGATGGCGAGCCCTTAGGGCCACCGCCATCACCAATCGTCATTAAAATTACCTAAAATTTCATACAATCAAAGTGCATCTATCGCAGCCTTGAATTACCCACACATACCTGTCAATACGATAACATACATAAGTTACTATTTACCTATAAAATCGATAGTTTCTAGAAATCTGCTCTTTTCATTGGTCGAGATGTGTCGAATTGATCGAGAGGGACAAGTGGATTTACTTCACTATATCTTGTCGACTTGGTTAACCTACGAGGTGATGAGTCATCGTCTGCGAAACTCCTTTGAGTGACAAGCGGTTTCATGTTGGGCGCTTTCATTGTCCAGTTGACCTGAAAAAGAACTACGTTTTAGAGATCGTCAAACGTGACCTTGTCATATACGTCACTATTTGCTCTTTTTCTTCAATCCAATTGGTCATTCCAATTGACAAGATACTTGCAGTCAAGCAACTATGCCCCAGCAATCACAAATAGCTACACATGTAATGATCATCGTTGGTAGTAATCTATACACATCTATCATCGACAAAACCTTAATGTAACACAACCTAAAGTTTGATGGGCGAATATAATATTTACTCATGAATAAAACACGATATTTAAGAAATAAAAGATGTTTACTGTGTTTGCACAGGCTTATGCAAACCGAGGAGATCTTCGGAAGAACTCGAAAGCAGATCAGTGCAAGCCCGAGACCGAAGGTTGAGGGTTGCACATGCTCGAGAGGTTTGCATAAGCCTGTGTAAACACGAAAAACATCTTTTATTTCTTTTAAAATAAAATGCAAAAAGACAAACATTTTAATTTTTCTTCTAAAATGTATTCATGCTCAATTTGCAAATTCTCTATGACTGATTGATTGTTATGATTGGTTGAGCTCAGTTGTGTTTTGCAAAGGCCAATGCAAACACAGCTCTAGACCAATCAGCGCACACGTTTCATTGTGTTTAATTTATAATATGATTTAATAACTTACCACTGATCTGTTAGAACCTCGAAACTAGAAACGGAATAATGGCAAATCTTAATAATTATGAAATTCAACGTTGAGTCAAATCACTTGTTTATTGCTCACTTACCTTAGTAGAAGCGACATAAGAAGCTTTGACTGTTAGTATAACAGCATTCATCAAGTTTTTCGCAGCTGTTATAAGAGAAGTTGCACTTTCCAACTGATAAAGAGAAAAGGAAACTTTAAATCATGGTCTCGAAGTTAGCTAGTATATTAATTAAGCAAAGGAGACACAATTAGCTCCGCATATTTCATTTCAAGTTGGACGCTATGGCAACTACCGCTAAAGTGGTCAATTTATTTCGAAAAAGAAAGTCACAAATATCTCCGCTGGCAACGGACTTACCGCTGACACAACAACGGACTTACCGCTGACACAACTTCGACGCCACTGATTGTCTGGATATCAGCTTTCACTCGACTGGTGATGGTGAGTTGATGTGAAAAAAGAGAGACGCGTTGAATGTATGCGAGAAGATCGTTCTTCGATTGAGAATGAGGACACTAAAGTCAGGAAAAGAAACTTGGATGCAACACGAGTGCGAAAATCAAATACATGCAATAGAGAGCAATAAAAGTACGGCCGGGGCCGGTTGCAGGAAGCCTGGATAGCGTTGTCCATTGGGCAGCAATTTTTAAACTTTTATAAAACCATAACGCAAAAATATAAGATTCGAATTGAGCAATCACTGAAATAAAATATTTTTCGAAGATAACGAATATTCTTTGTCGTAAGTAAAATACAAACACCTTTTTTGGAAAATTTTGCTATCCAATGGATAACGCTATCCAGGCTTCGTGCAACCGGTCTCTGCAATATAATATTTACAAGAAACTCAAGCTTTCATTTTGTTTTTTAGAAAGACAATCTCTTTCGTTTGCTTAAATATCCAGATTAGACAATTGGCAAACGCAAAGGGTAACATTGACATTGTCTAAAGGACAGATTTTATCTTCCACTGGATACCATCGCAAGAACATCCTATCTTGTTGAGACATAAATGTAATTTTCTCACAATAATTAAGTTTAAAATAAACTGAAAGAATTTGCCCGGGCATTAGAGACGTACAATGCTCACATAATGAAGCATTTCAGGCGGCAAAAATTTGCCCTTGTTGTTCGCTATTATGTTTGCTCAACAAATAAATCACAAGCACCTTTTCAGCAACTTCTGTTGATAATTGATTTATTCTTTCGCCAGCTTTTGCAATACGCTACAACCAAACGCAAACAAAAATATCAGAATCACCCACAAGAGGAATAATTAACATAAATTTTCTACATATTGTAAGCCGGCACTTTGAAGTCATGCCCATTGAACTAAAATACATGCTTTCCATGTATTTTAGTTCAATGGTCATCCACGACATAGAAATGGCCAGAATTATTACATTGACGTCACATTATATTGTGACTATTTTTTAATTTTCTCTTGTGCTGTGTTGTACATTGACATATATATAAGGCAGATTTTTCTCTACTTTTTTTTAGAATATCAATCACAAGTCGGAGTTCATCTGCTTCAGAATCGACACTCACCTTTGCCGCAGTTATAACGTCCATGGTTGTCTTCAATGTTCCAGTACCTCTGTTAATATAAAAAAACAAACAGCGTTTGTTTGATCTCAGATGACATAAGGAAAGTCGTGATTAACCAACGTACTAAAGTAAATGGTTTGAACCCAGGAGTATCGTTACAGGTTTGTAAATGTAGATCGTCCAGGTTGGTATAGTCTTGAGAAGGACTGTTTTTGTTGTTGTTGACTGACGTTTCGACAACCTTAGCGGTAGTCATCTTCAGAGTCAACAACGAAAACAGTCCTTCTCAGGACTATACCAACCTGGACGATCTACATTTACAAACATGTAATCAACGTACCTTGTAAAGTCCGACATATCCATCATCATCACACACATCTTCTTAGCCAAAACAACAATCTCGTTGCCAGATTCATCCCACTGTGACAACATATTTTCGAACCTCGATTTCTCTGAACGCAGCTCGGTTGACAGTTGTTCAATTTTCGCCTTATCTTCGGCGGGCATCGCTTTCATTTTTGCCTAGTTTTATGAAAAAGATCGAAAAACTGACCCAATCACAAAGCACAACGCAATGCATCATGGTATATGGCTAAGCTATACGTATGTAAGTAGATATTAAAATGGAAATACGTAGATCGATACGCACCGCGCCATCTTACAACTGTCTCAATTTCATTAAGGTGTTGGCAGGTTTAATTTAAGAGGGCACCCCACCAATACAGTCTGCCATAACGGGAAATTTTTTATCAAAGAAAAAGGACATGAAAATATTATTTAGTAATGATTAATATAAAGCATACTTACCCTGTCACTCATTTCCGCGAAACTCGTTCCAGTTTCTTCATCATCGCTATCATTTTCAGGTTCAGGTTCGGGTTCGGCTGCGAGTTCGAAACCGTCGACGGCGACAAGCGAAGGCGGACGAACTAAAAGTAACAGGAAACGTGTTGAAACGTGCTGCACACGCATTTCGGAGAATCTCTGCAAAGCTCTTCATTAATAGTGATGCAAAAATTCGTTAAACAAAATACCTGGTTCTTCCTCGACTGCCTTCACGGTAGCGGGTAAAGAAACAAAGTCGGATAATACTGAGGGTCCTTCGTATCGAGGCTTCGATTCCTGTGTGACCCAATCTACTGCATCTGGTCCCGTGTATCCCATAAATACCCAAGAGCCACCTGGTCCAGGATTTACATTACCAGTAGCACCGATACGACCAAGCGAATCCTTTGCTTCATTAACACTAACACCTGTAAATGAGCTTTGATCGTAAATCTGGATTTGACATTGATCTAATTTAATCCGGAGTTTATCTAAACTATGAATGTTTTATGCAGTGCGGTGTTTGAAACAGAGGTCATGGGTTCGAATCC